TTAATTTATCCATCCATCAAGTTGGTGGGGTGACTGCATTCAATTTCGATTTTTTCCAATTCATTTTTCACCGGTAGGTTCACCCGCTCTTATCTATGGAACTTTAGGGTAATTTTCGACGTGGATCAACTCAACAGCAGTGCACGGATGAACTTAGATCAATTTTTGGCGATCAAGGACCAGTGTTTATCGATGGTATGGTAAGTTCATCCGAGGTCGTACTTCACTCCAAAACGACTTTCGACTTTCGTGGAGGTCGTCCAAAATCAGTTGTTGTTCCGATGCTGTGCGCAAACTAGTATTGCAAGATCATCATGTGACCTATCGTGAGATTGGGACAACCTTAAGCATTAAGGGACCAGCATACATTCGATATTGCATGAGCCCTTGACTGTCAAAAAAATTTGTTCGAAAAAAAAACCCTTCACCACGACAGCGCGCGCTCTCAGACATCGGCTCAAACAACTGCATTTTTGAGCACTCAAAACATCGATTTGATGAGTGATCCGCCATATAGCCCTGGCTTTGGACCGATTGACTTCTTTTTATTCCCGTACGTAAGAAGTGAGAGGTTAACGTTCTTCGACACCTGAAGAAGCGATTGATGCGCTCAGAATGCATGTTTAGGAGGTACCTCAATCAGAGTGCTTCGACAATTGGTTCAAACACATGCAAAAAATGTATAGATCTTAATAGGGAGTGATTTGAAAAACAATGAAGCAGTTTTCAATGCTTAATATTTATTTTTGTTTTCTAATCCCGAAATATAAAAGGCAACCTACGCATAATGACGGCTACCCAGTAAGGTTTGTGACTCAAAGAGGGATCGCGGTATTTCTTTGCTTCGATAATAATTAATTGATTAATTAATATGATGCGCGCATTAGCGTGCGGAGCCTAGCTAGTCTCAGATGAACGACTGGAAATACGTGCTTTCACTGTTGCAACATATAAAAACCTAATAACCAAGTAAGGAAAAATTATTCCCGCTACTTGAGTCGTTATTTAAAATTTAAAGAGCTCGAAGAGCAGTTAAGTTCTGATGCCCTGCGAAAGGTGGCCACTTGTAAGGAAGTGGTGGAAACTATGGCGCTGTAGCTCAGACAGCGCTAAACAAGATTATACGTCAGAGTCTAAAACTATTATAAGGTTTATGCGGCACGCAGTGCACGTGAAGCAGCTGAGAATTCAGCACGCAACAGAAAAAGAATCCACCAGCACCCGTCTGATGACATTCATCGCCGATTTACGAAAGTTCGTGGCTCTATCGTACGGAAGCGAAGTTCCAACTTCACCCAAAACTTGTTTTTCAAAAAAGGAAGCAAGTGTAGCCATCTACGAGGTAATTCGAAGACAACAATGATGCACTCGAAAGGAAACAATAGTAATTACTTAATTACGGAAGCTACAGGTCCAGATGAAAGATGGGAGAGCACCCAGACCAGAACAAACTATCGCATTTGACCGCTCACAGCAGCTCCCAATATGTTCACTAGTGGATACATTCACGGAAATACTTTCCACGAAAACAATTCCGAAATAAGCTGGGCTCAAGTTTATTTTGATCCACAAAAAGGGTTATTTAAGGCCTTGGCTAACTACCACCAGTAGCGCTTCTATCGGTAGTGCTCAAGCTATTCTAACGCGTCACTCCCCGTCGCATTTGATTTGTCGGGCTTTCAATACCAGGTGATGTCATGCCGCAAACACCTCGATCAAATCCATGCGATTTCGCAATTCGCAGTTATCAAATCCCATTCCATTACCTTACCTCTTTTTCGAGTCAAAGAGCTTTTGAACACGGATGAACATCGAACGTTTTTGAATGCTACTTCTTTACTGGTACTCTGATACTACTTTTAAATACTACTTCTTTACCCTTGTTGCTCTCAAAATTCTTCACATATATGTCAAACAGTGGGCGGAGGTGGTGA